TTTGGTTACATATTGTAACCCAAGACAAACAAGAAATGTTTTTTTCAGAAGTACCATTTAAAGTAAGTTTTTAGTGATTGAATGTAGCTGAAAATAGTAGGGGCCTGTAAAGAGTTGAAAAGAATCTGGTCAAGTGAATTTAGCATTACAAAATTATTTGGAAAATAACAAGCTGTTAGCCTAGTATTTTTTCAGGCCCAAAAAAGCTTTTTAGCAATCTTTCAGCCACTTAATTACAGTGTTAACAATACTTTATTACTGCATGAGCAAAATGTATTTTGATGGTGCTCACGTGGTATTGAAAGATGTGTTCTTCATTTACTTGTCTAGAAGTTGCCTGCAGAACTTGGGCTTTAAGGAATGCCTTGTGAAATACCTGAGCGTGTGGCACTGATCTTGGTCCTGCCATGTGGTTGCATATGCTCCTAGCGATGTTTTCTAGGTTCCTGATTGCAAGAAGAAATCTCTATTAAATGAGAGCATCTCTTGTTCAAAAAATGTTAGGCACTGCAAAATGAGGTTGACAACAGCTAGTGTACCTGGGACTGTATTCTCTCATCAACATGAGAGAACATATAAGCTTGATAACTCAGGGCTATGCTCCAAGCCTGTTTGTTTACTGTGACTTCTTTGTAGTAATGAAATTTATGACTTTATGATTATGACTTTACTGTAGCTCGCTGAGATAAATGCCTGTACTAAAGATTTAACAGCCTCAGCTGTTTGATCCAAGAAGTCAGATTTCAGCAATGATTTGGTTAAAATGTGTGGTAATGTACAAGAGAAAGAGCATCAGTGTGTATTTTCATGGCCGTGGACTCCTGTTTTCTGTGTTCACAGATTCCTCACATTACCTGTCTGTGATTTCTGCCATTAAAAATAAGTGGGTTTTGTTTTTTTTCCCCTCTTAATATTTTTTTATAGATGTTTGACTGGATCACACACAACAAAGGTCTGTTTCTGAACAGCTACACAGAGATCGGCACCAGTCACCCCCATGCGATGGAGCTTCAGACACAGCACAATCACTTTGCCATGAACTGTATGGTAAGAACAGGCCTCACTTCACAGCACTGACTTGTTGTCTCTTTGTACTATGTTAAGGTAGAATTCATAAATCATATACATAAATCATTCCTTCTGTTAATTGGTATTGCAAATTTGTTGTTGAGCAGTAAAATTATAAAACATAAAGGAGAAAAATCAGATCATCCAGAGTTCCGTTATGCAACACATACAGGATAACCAGGTGATCAGACCCAGTCAGAACGGGTTTGAGGGGCAGGTCCTGTTTAACAAACCTCCTTCTATGACAGGGTGACCCACTGGCTGGATGAAGGAAAGACTGTGGATGTTGTCTACCTTAACGCTAGTAAGGCATTTGACACTTGCCCACAGCATTCTCCTAGAGAAGTTGACTGCTCTTGGCTTGGATGGGCAAACACTTTATTGGGTGAAAAACTGGTTAGATGGCCGAGTCCAAAGAGTTGTGGTCAGTGGAATTTAAACCAGTTGGCGGCTGATCATAAGTGATGTCCCCCAGGGCTCAGTACTGGGCCCAGTCCTGTTTAACATTCCCATCAATGATCTAGATGAGGGGATAGAGTGCACCCTTAGTAACTTTGGAGATGACACCAAGCTTGAGGGTAGGGAGGCTCTGCAGAGGGATCTAGACAGGCTGGATCGCTGGGCCAAGGCCAACATCATGAGTTTCAATAAGGCCAAATGCCAGGTCCTGCACTTTGGCCACACCAATCCCCAGCAGCGCTACAGGCTTGGGGAGGAGTGGCTGGAGAGGTGCCAGGCAGAGAGGGGCCGGGGGGTGTTACGGACAGCCGGCTGAACAGGAGCCAGCAGTGTGCCCAGGTGGCCAAGAAGGCCAACGGCATCCTGGCCTGGATCAGGAATGGTGTGGTCAGCAGGAGCAGGGAGGTGATCATGCCCCTGTACTCAACTTTGAGGAGGCTGCACCTCGAGTGCTGTGTCCAGTTTTACGCCCCTCAGTACAAGAGGGACATGGAGGTGCTGGAGGGGGAACAGAGACGGCTGCCAAGCTTGGTAAAGGATTTGGAGCATGTGTCCTATGAGGAACATCTGAGGGATCTGGAGATATTTAGCCTGGAGGAGAGTAGACTGAGGGGAGACCTCATCATTCTCTATGACTACCTGAAAGGAGGTTGTAGTGAGGTGGGGGTTGTTCTGTTCTCTCTAGTGGAGAGTGACAGGACAAGGGGAAATGGCCTTAAGTTGTGCCAGGGGAGGTTCAGGTTGGATATTAGGAAGAATTTCTTTAGTGAGAGGGTTGTCAGGCACTGGAACAGGCTGCCCAGGGAGGTGGTTGAGTTGCCATCCCTGGAGGTGTTTAAGAGAAGGGCATGTGTTGTGCTGAGGGACATGGTTGAGTGGTGGTTACAGGACTAGAAAAGGTTGGACTTGATGATCTTGAAGGTCTCTTCCAGCCAGAACTGTTCTATGATTCTAAAATAAAGGGTGGTCAAATACAGAAGTATTGTGATCAAAACCAGATTTGTCAAATGGCAGTATTTAGCACAGCGTCACAACTTCTAAAATACCAGTGTGGTGCTTCTAGAACCTAGAATGTGTGTTTCAGTTCTGCTTTGAGTCTTGTAGGGAACTTCAGAGAGTCGAATGTAATACAGAATTTAGCACTCCATGTGGGAAGAAGTAACTCTGAATCTTCTGAATGGCTTGCAACTCAGACAAAAACTTCTGAGAAGTCGTGATCAACAGCTGAGCCTGGTGTAATAAATTTCCATATTTTTAAGAAGACATTTCTCATTTCTGGCACAGTAGAATTGTTTAACAATTTTTTTGTCACATATAACCATAGGGTGAGCTATCAGCAGGCTGCAATTAAATTTATTTTTTTTTTAACTGGCAGTGAGTGAAAGCTGCTTATTTTCAGTTTCATTATTTTATGTTTAAACATGGGGACTAAATTCTCAAGTACATTGTAGGTTCTTTTAACTAGGAGGATTGGAGGAGTTTAAATGACTTTGGGAGCCTGGGCCTACATCCAATCCCTGGTTGTCAGCTCAGGGAATGAAGAACACTACCCAGTCTTGTTAGAAATTAATATCCTTGGCAGTCCAAGGAAGGGAATTGAATTAAAGTGTGGGCAAAACAATCAAATCCTGCAAGACGGTGGCTTTATAGGACAGGACTACTAATTGTGGAAAGAGAGAGCAGCAACGTAAACTTAATCAAGGTTATACGTCTTCCTGAAATAACAGAAGAATTAGTAAGGCACCTCTTGTGTCTGGTATATCTAGTTCAGGCAGTAGAAGACACTACTAGAGAAAATGCTTTTTCTTCTTTTGCAACTCAGCTATGTTTGCAAAAGTTTAAGAAAAATAAATATCAGTATGAACTTTTTGAAAAGAGCAAAGCAAATGCTGGGGAGCATTGTGATTAAGTTACGTAACATCGAACAGGAATGTAACTTTGACCGTTAGGTTTGGAAGGTTCACTCCAATGGCATGGGGAATTGCTCCTTTGTAGAGTTACCTCATAGTTGTTGCTTATTGCTCTGCATATTAAGTAGAGCAGAAAGAAACTCACAGAAGGCATGGGAGGTTTCATTGATGTGAGTTGGCTTTTGGAACTTAGTAATATTGTGTGGCCTTCCAGACAGTTGTTTGGCTTGTACTCTAAAGGTTAGATTCTTCTACTGTCATCCTATCCTCCTATTAGTCACTGTTTCCTTTTCTTTAAATAGGATGACTGGTTTTTTTTCTTCCCCTACTTCCGTAATGCTCAGGTGCTATCAGCAGTAAGAAGCACTTGGGCAATATAGCTTAATCCCTCCTGCTCTGTTTCTGCTGTTAGTCTTTTGCTGTTAATATCTGTTTTTCCTGTAGTAGGCAAATCCATTAGTTACAGAGGAGTTTTTCTCAGCCTGTACAATGATTTCTTGAAGTATGCAAGGAGCACCTTAAATTTGGGGCAGAATTAAACAGTCCAAATACTCAAAAGGAGGAGAAAAAACTGCAATTTTCCCTCTGTACTCGGCACTGGTGAGGCCGCACCTTGAGTATTGTGTTCAGTTTTGGTCACCTCGGTATAGGAGAGATATCGAGGTGTTGGAGCGAGTGCAGAGGAGGGCAACAAAGCTGGTGAAGGGCCTGGAGAATAAATCTTACGAGGAGAGATTGAGGAAACTGGGTCTGTTCAGTTTGACGAAGAGGAGGCTGAAGGGGGATCTCATCATGCTCCACAGTTACTTTAAAGGACATTGTAGAGAGGTTGATGCTGGTCTCTTCTCACAGGTAATTAGGGACAGAACCAGGGGCAATGGTTGCAAGTTGGAACAGGGCAAGTTTAGGCTGAACATTAGGAAGAAATTCTTCACGGAAAGA